GGACTAACGAGGTCTTACCTTTTACCGTGGGATTCCTAACACGAAATCATTGCAAATCACACAAATAAATAACTGACATTCATGGTGGCACAAAATCATACATTTTTTTAACTTTCCCTCGTATTTTCAACAGGGAAATGGCACATCCCATAATATTCTTTCAATATTTCTTGAGATACTCCAGAGTCGATAATAGTATCTATCACGGAAAAGAAAAATTGTTTTACTATAAGTATATAGGAAATAACGGGTTTTCAGTCAAAGTCACATTCAAAAAACAAACAAACCTACTCTATTTCTACAATTCGTGAAACTTTCGTCCTGATATTGAGAGTTCTTCGGGACGCTGAACATGAGAACAGAACAGAAAAGTAATCTTAAAATTAGTACAATACTTATGTATTGTATACTTCAATACAATTGTATTGAAATAATGTACTTCAAACCTAAAAATAACAACAAAAGATAGTACAAAATATGATAATGATGTCAAACCTTCGAACATATATGACATGATTCCCATTTTTTTAGGAAGTAAAGTAGAGGAAGTAAAAAAATATTTCTTTTCAGTTTTTTCTAAACATGTGAGAAACAAAGAAAAGAAGAAACTAATTACTTTCAAATCAAACTCTTTATCGCAAATTTGTGTAGATCATGCATAGAAGTTACTTTCAGATACAAACTGGAAAAAAAGGCCCCACAAACAACTACTTTCACACAAACATTGAATTACACGAAAGAAATAATACTTTCGAAACAATTACTTTCATATAAACATTGAATTATACAAAAAAAATACTTTTATCTATTCAGTTCATACTTCAAATATTTGTTATGGAATTGAATCAGATATGGTCCATAGAAACACTTACATGGAACACAGCCATCCTTAATGGTGGACTTCGAAGTTTCGGAGTAAGTCACTTGTTTTATAACCTCATCAGCACCATTCTGGATAATATTATAAGATAAAGCACTGATTTCATTCCTTACATATCTTATACATATCGCGGATGAGATTATTCTACTCATGTAACGATGACATTACGTCATTCATACTCTTATTGAGGTAGCACTTTATTTCCAACAGGTGTACACCCAATTACAGGAAAATATAATGATAAAAATAAATTCAAATTCGCATATTACATACTCAATTGAGAAATTAAAAATTATACAAATAATATAAATGAAATATAATTAGATTCAATTGACATATTATGAATGAATTAGCCTTCACAATGTTGACATAAAACAATTGAAAATTATATAAAAAAAACTATAAATGAAAGGTTCTATGACAGGTACAATCCTTGATAAAGTTCAAAGAGTTTCCACTAATTTCACACATGTTTTCTCGTATCTTGAGTTGAGGCGTGGTACATAAAAATTTATTTTTTGTAGGAGCGGAGCACAGGAGATGTTATTATTGGTTAAATTATGTAGAAATGTGACCGTAATAGGACTCTACGTGTATTCAGTGATATAATAAAAAATTGGTTCAAAAGGATAATTGTTAATTCCTATTTAGGGGTAAATACCTGTAATACGAAAAGACAAAACTTTTTTTGGGCAGCTTCAATTTGCTGTATGTGAGAATTATAAATGGGATACCAGACCATCGCCCCATATTCTAGTTTTGACCTCACATAAGCATAAAATAGCGTGATTATCACCTTTATATCTCTGAATTCTCTGGTGTTCCTCATTATGAAGCCCAACATTCAACTAAAGGACGAAACAGCTTGGTCTTCATACCCATTGAAAGAAATAAAAAAATTAAATCTTCTACCCCACCTTTTGCAAGGTGAACCCCTTTTTTGGTTTCTGGAAACTGGACTATTTTGTTTCACACAAAGACCAAGCTGTTTCGTCTGCTAGTCGCTAGTCCTTTGGGAACTGGACTAAAAGTGAATTTCTGATCAAAATTAATGCCAAGGTCTTTCATTTCATTTAAATTGAAAGGGATATATTTTTAGAAGAGGCTGCTTTTTGGGAAATTGTTATTGTGGCACGGTATATGACAGAATTTTATTGAGCTGGTTAATGAATAAACATATTTTAACAGATTTTCAGCAGAAAAATTTTTCACAAAAGCATGTAAGCATGTGAACAACTAACGCAACATTCTCTTGAAACATACAAATCACACATCAAGTTCAATAAAAAAAAAGTTTTACATTCAGAAAGAAACACGTTCAGGTTTTTTCTCGAAATGGTGGAAATCAATAGTAACCCAAATTGAATGGACAAAATATAGACATTGATCATTTAGGTATAATTTACACTTATTAGGATGTTTCAAAAGTTTCGTCTATTTCAATGTCATGTATTTTTTCAAGCACAAAACACAAGCACTACAAAAAAATCATCAAGGCGCTCTCAGAGCGGTGCCTGTGCGAAAGTAGCGATTCACAATGGATTTGAATCGCTGGAGATTAAATCCATTAGGAAAAACGTTCTCAGGATATTTATTCCACATGAACGCAGTTCTTCAGATGAAAGAGTTCTTAAACAGTGAAGTTCGAAGTGTACTGAGTTGAACCTCAAAACGATGAGCAGCCACAGTCCGTCGCGTATTTTTGATATGTACCGCTCTTCGTGGAAATCAAATGTGCCAAGTCACTTGAACACTGCCCGTGAAAGTATCTATAGAAGAGAGACAAATCGCCAACCTTTCTTTGATGTTCCAGGCTATCAAGGTTGCACGTAATATTCGTGTCTCCAATCAGGTGGATGACTCTTTTCTGGATGAAATCCAGCAACTTCAGGGTATGTTTGGGGGCAGAGCTCCATACATGAGAACAATACTCCAAAGAAGGTCTGATCTGAGCTTTATAAAGCATCAAAAGTTGCTGTGTTTTTGTAGCTCCATATCTCAATAAATATGCATTCTACTGCGTCGTGGGATATACTGATCAATAGAGGATTTTGTACTCTATGCATTGATGCTGTACTTTTTTTCAATCTAATTTTTTTTGTCTCTTCTCAGTTTATGTGTTGTCGTTGAGCGATTTTTTTCTACGAATTGAAATTGAACCAAAGCGCCACCGAAACAGCCCGAAACATCAACTAGACATTTGGCAATGATAGAGTGAACGCACTGTTCGATGTTGCTTCGTGGAATTTCGTTTTGGAGATGAGCCCCGAAGTGGCAGACTTTTAGTAATCCAGGACCAGAATTAGATGATCCTGGAGAACACTTACCCATCAAAATGGTTTAAAACTCATTGGAAATGTAAAAAAGATCGAAAAGTGGGTGCCCCACGATCGACAGATATTGTCACGTTTCGAGGTCTGCTCTTCTTTGCTTTCGCTCAAACAAAATGATCCTTTTTGGATCAGATCGTCACGTTTGATGAAAATAGGATCCTCTACGACAACAGGACAGTCGTGGGATACTGAAAAGTCATTCAGGTGAATGGCTTTTCAGTGTGAGGAAATCGACGAATTGTACCAAAAATTGCTTCAACAGGAGCCGGCAGTGGTCAAGAGAAGAGGTCCGATCTTACTCCACGCGACACTTGTCCGAACATTTCGAAAATCACCGTCCGAACATTGTACGAATTGAGCGTCGAAGTTTGCCTCACCCACCATATTCCCCAGACCTCTCGCCAACCGACTACCATCTTTTCAAACACTTCGATAACTTTCTCATCGGTAGAACCTTCACCAATCGGAACCAATCTAAAACGAACACTTTTTTTACACTGACGGGATTAATCGACTTAGGTTACGTTGGCAAACATGTAGTGCTTCAAATGGCGCTTATTTGGTTGAATTGAAAAAGTATCCACTGAGATATTACAGTTCATAGTAGATTCATAAAAACGGACAAAATCCAAACTTTTGAAACAACCTAGTATCTACTGTAAAAAGATCAGCTTCATTGATCCATATTGAATGAAATAAAACCACGTAGTGTGAAACAATCGATCAAAAAATTATGACAAAAATCTTTTTTTTACTTCAATTCACTCTTTTCATTACAGGTAACGGTGACAATAACAATCATAATGGCAATTATGCTCAATATGATATTTTGTGCAATAATTTCTAAGAATTATTCGGCATAAAGTACATTTTCCTACAGAAATCGTAATATTGAGATGAAATAGAGTACCTACGTTTGTTTATTTGAAGCTGCGTTTGACGGAAAACGCGTTTCCTTTCTTCTGCATGATAACTTAAGCCGTTAATCCCAAAACTAAAAAAACATGCAAATTAAAAAAGTTCCAATCAGTTACTTAATTCACAAAATTGATGATTACGACAAATTACTGAATAATTATACTCGGCAATAGTTTTGCAGCGCGTAAAATCAACTTCTTCATGAACAAACTCCGTTAAACACATACCGAGCCTGATGCGTAAATTTGGTTCACACGAAAACTTCGCACTTACGGAGGCGAGGTTCCGTTACAACCTTGGTATGAACTGTAGTTTTGCATAGACCTTTTTTTATAGAGGCGAGGTTCCGATGCAACCCTTTTTGGACTAATGTTTGGTTAGTTTCGAAGTACTTGGGTCCTTCTTTTATAATTACTTCGAAATTTATCATAGTTTCTATACTGTCACGTTTTTGCCCGTGGGTTGACCAATAATTGACTACACTGAATAATCAAATTTAACTTAAATTCAGTTTAAATACAACAAACACTTCAACTATTATTTGAATGTCTATCGCCTTACTAAATCGCGTACTGCACTGTAACGTCCACTGGACTGTATCGATATGCTCGCATCTAGCGTTTAAATATCGTAATCGAAGACCGTAGAAATTTCGCCGAAGTCTGTCGAAGTCGGTAGCATTATTCTCCCTACTTCTGGAGCTGCAGAAGTGCATTCGCGCGCTCCTAGCTATGTCACTTTTGGTTTATGGTTACCAGTGGCAGCCGGCGTTATTTTCTTTCGGGCATGATTTACAACAATACATATCTATTCAAAAATCAGATCATTTTATCCATATAAAAGTCTATATTTATTTTTTTTTGTTTCAGGACCTCGAATTCCACGGCGTAATGCGTTTCTACTTTCAAGATTCCGGTCAGAAGGTAGCTACCAAGTGCATCCGTGTGGCGTCTGATGCTACTGTCGAAGACGTCATCGGTACCCTAGTAGAAAAATTCCGTCCGGACATGCGGATGCTTTCGGTGCCTTCTTATGCCCTTTACGAATTGCACGAAGGATGTCCTGAACGGAAAATGTCGCCGGATGAGAAACCGCTGCTGGTTCAGCTCAATTGGCACGTGGACGACAGAGAGGGGCGGTTTTTGTTGAAAAACGTTGACGACAAGACGGTGAGTGTCATGTGGTTTATTAGATGTGTTATATGCACCTACCTACCAGTATTTATGTAAAGTTAGCCATAAATTAAATTTTGAGATAATGAAATTAATGCATGAATACTTTATTTTAAAGTGAAATTGACAGATGAAACTTTCAAGATGGAGACTGGGCGCCATCTGGAAAAAAAATTTAATGGACACATCATTTTGAAGCTCCTGACGAATACTTCACAACCCTAGAATATGAAGTCAGTATCTTCACCTACTACAAAATGGCGGAACATTTAATAATTTCCTGAAGACAAACACATTAATATCGATATTTCTAGAAATATTCCTTTTTATCTGCCATATGGCAATTCCAACAGCCCGATAAGGTTTGTTTATAAAAACGACAAAAAATGTCAGTACGACAATGAACATCATGGTTCAGTTATAATATTCTCATTTAGTTTTCGGTTTTACTAGTAGAAAGGTACCACGTCAACAATCTCTAAAATGGCCAAATTCTCCTCCAATGGAAGACAAAATTGAAGCTATTTTTATTTCGATATGGATATTGAATTCCAACAATATGGAACACCACCACATTACTTAAGACAAGTAAGGAATTATTTGGATACTATTTTTCCGGTCGTTGGATTGGCCATCGAGGTCTTACAAAATGGCCTGCCCGCTCGCCAAATTTGACATCTTTGGACTTTTTTATGGGGCTATTTGAAGCAAAAAGTGTACGAACCTGAACCTGTTTCAATATTGGATATAGGGCAGAGAATAATGAACATTTGTATAGATATTGACGTTACTGTGTTTGAAAATGTTCGGCGTGAAATATCAGATAGGCTATTCATATGTTAAGAAGTTCAAGGCAACCATTTTGAGCATCTTCTGAAGTGACCTTAAGCTTATTACTCCATATTATGTAGTTAAATGTCAATGTTTAGAAGTTATTATTGGCAATTATTAGAAGTTCCGCCATTTTGTAGTAGGTGAAGATATTGACTTCATATTCTAGGGTTGTGAAGTATTCGTCAGGATCTTCAAAATGATGTGTCACAAGACCTCCCTTTCCATTTAATTTTTTTTCCCAGATGGCGCCCAGTCGCCCTTTCGAAAGTTTCATCCGTCAATTTTACTTCAAAATAAAGTATTCATGCATTAATTTCATTATCCCAAATTTCAATATCCCAAATTTCAATTTTTTGAGTTGATTCGTTCGAAAAATAAAACGGGAGGGGACATTAAATAAATAAAAGCGCTGTATAATGTTTGGAGCGTTTGAAGGCCGAAACTGCGGAAAAATGACCCCATTTACAAAAATTAAGTGCTGCTTCATCAAGACAATGCACAGTGTCACAAATAAATGAAAACGATAACAAAATAGCATGAAATGGGTCTCGAATGGCTCCCGCATATGCCATATGCTCACCAGTAAGAAATTTCGCTCGAATGAAGAGGTTATTGCTGAAACTGAGGCCTTTTTTGAGGCAAAAGATAAATCTTTCTACAAAAGTACCGATTGTTCATATGCGTAATCATTAAAAGTTTTCTCTGACGATTATGAATACAAACAAGGCACATTTTCTGATATGATCGAAGAAAATCTTCACACTAGTATGATACAAAGGAGATAACTCAAATTTCAATAAATGGGAATAAGAAATGGGATATAAAATTGTTTCACTTTGTAAATATCATGAGGTGGTAAACTCGACAAGAAAATTGAAAAATCACAGACCATGAAAGGCGTTAGGTTAGATTAGGTTAGGTCCAAAGTGAGTGGGTCTATTCGACCCTCTAGCGCAGCCCGCAAGGGTTTATTGTGGCTCACACCTATTCACACTCGGCCAAATAAACCCAGCTTCTCAACGAAGCCGATTAGTTTGTATGGTGAGTGGTCTTTCAGGTCAGATGGTAAGAGTTCGGCTCTGCCAAACTCTGAAAACCTAATTCGGTCCCCAGCGGGGCAGGCACAAAGTATATGGTCTGCTGTTTCATCGTAGTCGTATAGTCATCTCCTCTGTAGACTGAGCGTCAGAAAGAATTTTTAAGTTTACTCTGTCCATGAAAGTCTCACGAGTAGCTAGGAAAGAAGATCAATCACGGCAGAGCCCCGCATTACCGTGACAAGGCGATGCCTCGACGAGAGGGCGTCCGGTATTTTGAAGGTTCCGTAGTGACAGCTGATAGACTCAGCGTCATTCATTCTCTCGGCACGGATACACACATCTTGGTGTTAAGCCATCGTTGGGATGCCATTCAATTAGGGAATAACAGAACCACAAGTGATTCTGTCATTCCCGTATCCAACGGGGCTACGCGGAAGCAGGCATCCGATGGCCGGTTTGCTCAATCTCCACATCCCAAGCCAATGCACTCGCCAAGAACAGCATGCACAGTGGTTCAGGCAGTGAAAAATGAACAAAGACAGCCAACCGCCATGAAAGGCGTACTGGGTTGGAAAATTCTATCAACACAATACAGAAATCAAACAAGTTGAAAGGGGTATATTTTTAGGAGAGATTAATTTTTGGGAAAGGAAGGTTTTGGCTTTATACTTCTCCATCTTTATACAGAAAATATAAGAACTTTCCAAAGGAAGGAAAACAATCCATTTCAAAATGAACTCTTTACAAACATGTGTAAATCATGCTAAAAATGAACTTTCAGTTACAAGCTGAAAGAAAAAGTCCTCTTGATGCAACTACTTTTATATAAAATTTGAATCACACGAATGAAAAAGTACTTTCTAATAAACTACTCTTATTTGAAGGTGATTGACAATGTTTCGTGATGAATTTCACTAGTTCGGACTTCCATTGTCTACTATATAAATTGATTTGAAATCCCTGAAACAAGTAAATAAGAATAATTAAAAAAGAATAAAAACCACTCCATATATATGTTGGCTATGACTGGTGAAAGTGGCGATCCCATTGGCAGTCCCTCATCTTGTGTAAAGAATTCGTCCTTCAGTTGGAAATAACAGTTTCGCACACAGCATCCTAGTAATTCCATAATTACTTCTATAGGTAGATTCGTTCTCTCTTTGACTTGTAGGTTATTTCACTATCATTTCATTTCAGGTTTATTGTTGCTTAATATATAATTGTTATTTTCAACTATTCTTTTTTAATTATTCTTTGTTACTTGTTTCTGGGATTTCAAATCATTTTATATAGTAGACAATGGAAGTCCGAACTAGTGAAATTTAAACTACTCTTATGTGAACATTGAATTATACAAAAATACGTTGTGCTATTTAGTTTGTTCTCCTCAGCTCTACCTCAGGGTCGTCGTTCGTTGGGGGCGACAACTGGTTAACAGAAAAAGTTTTTCATCCGGTAAACTGAAAAATTCAAATCAAAATACTAGCTACACTTTCTCGAAATTCTAAATGCGAAATTATCGAGACTTTCTGTATTTAGGATTACAGAAATAAAAAAAACATTTTGAGCTCACTTCATTTTCCTTTCTGACTACCTATATTTTCGACTTTATACACGATTTAAGGGTTAAGCCTTTACGAATAAGTTGACAGAACCAAATCAAAATCTTAGTAATTTCAGGTTCATTTTAGGCTTCCTTTCCACTTCATTGAACAATTGCTTGTTCCTTATTGAAGTGAATATGAAACAGATGATTCCGTCAAGCAAAGACGTTGAAAATGGAAATTACTTCTTTCATTCTCCAAATGATATGAATCAAAACAAATCGGAAATTTCGAGTCCTTCTATTCCCGCCTGTTTCATGTTTATCAAATCAGTGAGTTCTATTCCAATACTAGTTCAAAGTGAGGCTAACGGAACACGCTAAAAATGTGGCCTATACAAATACATTTCAAGTGGTTCATAAATTGGTGAACCATATTTAGACTAAGTTATTGAAACGAATGTTCTTCAAAAAATTTATGATATTCTTCATCTAAAAATAAGGCAATGCAGCGCAAGCTACCAGGAGACTTCTTGTATTGTGGAACGTGATATCATTTGTTTCTATATTATACCGGAAATTCGAAAAAAATTAGTCAACCCACCATTTTCCATAGAAATACCTTGCCTTGAAGGTCTTGACTTTTGAAATTCACCTATAAGGTCATATTTTCGTTAATCTCAGTTCAGTTCCCTTTTTTAATCAAAGAAACTGCGTTCCGCTTATCCCGGCGCATAAGCCAAATAATCAACTTTTATAGGAAATTTGTTTATTTCTTTGGTCATTTTTCTTGAATAAAAATCCCACTTGTTTCTCACAGATCATGTATTTTCCTATAGCAAAAAGAATTTCAAAAATCGGTTAAGAAGCTTTTCAGTTTATGCATTATATCCTTATTAGATTAATTTTCTAGGATACCATTTATTTTTTCAGGTTGGTTCAATGGGTTCGATAGATTCGAATGCGAGCTTCCGACGAAAATTGTCGAAACGAGAGAAAAAGCAACTGAAGAAACAGGAAAAAATGTCAAGGATAAAATTAGAGAACGGCGATAATCAAGATCAAGATGGCGTAGCTGAAAAGTTGTATACCGGTATATATAAACGAATACGTATTTATTTGATATCGTCGATTTAATTCGATCACTTTCCTTTTTCTTGCATTTCGTTATGTTTAAATAATGAAACGTTATTGTTACAGAATTACCCGAAACTTCGTTTACTAGATCGATATCTAATCCTGAGGCAGTTATGAGGAGAAGAAGGCAGCAGAAATTGGAGAAGAAATTGCAACAATTCCGATCAAAAGATGGTGGACCAGATACAGGTGAGGGTTGATACGATCTCTTACTTTATTTTTCTAAATGAACCGATGATAATACTTACTGCCACATGCATCAATAAACTATACAGTCACCACATTTTTATCTAATTTCTATCGCGGGTTAATTTTTCAAAGTGTTGCTTTGTTAAAAAATTTAGACTTCTTTATGATACACATACCATTGATAGATGATAGTGTCGTAAATTAAAGAATTAACTGTCTTAAACAAATTTATTTCCAACAATATTTTAATAATCACAAACTAATTTATTTACAACACTTAACAACTACTAACGCCTAATTTATTTCCATTTGAATTTCTTGTTTAGCCGCTCGATTAACTTTCTGAACTGCCCTCTTGGGTCGGGAAGGCGGGCTTATATCGGTAAAGGTCCTTTCCGGAATTCTTAGTTGGACTATATGCACTTTGTGAGACGTGCTGTTGAATATCCTAATCGTTTTTACCTGACACTCCTATAATCGCCGCCTCCACGAAACCGTCACTTTTTTAAATCCTGACAGAGTTGCAAAACCTGGTTCTTTTAAAAGACGCCAAGTTAAGGATGCAGTTTCGAATTGAACAGAAGGATATCTTAGAACTAGTACTATAAAGATCGCTCTTGAGTCACCATATTGTCTGAAAAATATTGTTGTCTAATCTACTTGCCCCTGCCATGTTCAAAGAGTGCAAACACTTCCCCGTGAATTTCCTCCGCGGATTAACTTATATCAGATGAATCTCCAGAAACTGTTTGGATGTCAAATTCTCTTTACGGATGAAACTAAATTTTCATGAAATGTCGTGCGTCGTTTCTTTCTGAGAAAAATCTTCCCTTCATAGAAGAAGAAGTGTATTTTCTTGAAGACATTCTATTAATTTTAAGAAATGGAATGTATGTTATAGTCCGAGGATATCTATCGGGTCTCGGGTCTTTCATTAAGCACTTCCAATCTTTAAATTTGTATAAAACCTTCAATAAAATGATGGATGTAGCCTCTCTTTATCTCTCTCTCTCTCTCTCTCTCGGTGGAGCGCATCCGAAACGTTCAATTTTCCATGAATGGCGTGATGGCTTGTGATTTTGAGGACCGTTTTGATTTGTGGCTTATTCTCATACCCACTTCGACTTACGAAAATCCAAGGAGGAAAAGTCTAAGGGGGTGAAATCGCACGATCTCGGTGGCAAGTTTATATCACCTCCACGTGGGATGACCATGCCCTCAAATCGCTCGTGCAGAATATCAAAAATGGCATGAGCTGTGTGACAGCTGGTGTCCAGACCATCCAAATCAGGCCAAGAGAAGTTGGTAATCATATATAGTGCTCGTCGTTGAGAGTGACGGCCTGGCTAACGTAGTTCTCGACAAAATATAGACTGATGACGCCGCCAGCACAAAATCCACACCAGACAGTGACTTTTTCGGAGCGCATTTAATGGTATTGGATCTCATGTGGATTAGTATTGACCTAAATTCGACTATTTTCTTTGTTCACGTACTCATTCATCCAGAAATGAACCTTATCGAAAATTAGGATCTGTTGCCAACTACTCCAGAACCCATTCAGCGAACACACGTCGTTGTCTATAGTCGTTTACCATCAGTTCCTTGAAAAGCTTGGAGCCCTGTTGCGAACCAAAAAACTGTACACACCTGCAACTTTTGATGCTTTATAAACCTCAGATCAGACCTCCTTCTTTGGAGTATTTTTCTCATGTATTGTGCTCTGCTCCTATATAATAAGCATACCCTGAAGCTGCTGGATTCCACTCAGAAAAAAGTCGTTCGCCTGATTGGAGCCACGAACATCACTTGCAACCATGATAGTCTGGAACATCGAAGGAAGGTTGAAAATTTGTCCCTGCTTTATAGATATTTTCACGGAAGGTGTTGAAGTGACTTGGCACTTTTGATTTCACCAAGAGCGATACATATCAAAAATACTTGACGGACCCCATTTTAATAAATAGGATATTGTATAACAAGTGAGAAAAACGACGAGTGCCGGTGGAAGTCATCTTGATTTTAGTCAGGTTGGAGCCTGGCTCCCTTACCCTTTGAACTGATGTTTGCCAGAAGGACAAACGGGTCATGACTGATGTGGGTGTTAATGGTATTGCGGCATGAGTGTCCTCAGACATCAGTACCGCCCTTCACGGTGTACCCCTGGGGTGAATTTGATGAAAACGTTGTTCATCTTTCAACGGAAGATATAGAGGCCTCATTCGACAGAGTGTCGGGGCCTTTTATATCGGGAGGGGTCGTCTACAATATAATCCATAGCTTCCCTGACTAATGGGTTTTCATGAGTTTCTGCACCATCGAAAACTCTCTGATTTCTCGACTGAATGGACTGCCGAATGGAAGGCAGTTGCAAATCTCTGCGGATGACTTCATTCCGCACGAACCAAGGAGCATTCACAATCATCCTTATTAGCTTGTTTTGCAATACTTCCAAAATGGTGATATTAGATTTCGCCGCTTGTCCTCAGACGCCTGAAGCATACATGATGACAGGCTTGAACATCGTATTATAAATGGTGATTTTGTTTTTAAGACTCATTTTTTATTTTCTGTTGATCAGAGGGTACAGACGTGCTATCCGACCCTCGATCTTTGATTTGACGCACGTTATGTGCGGGTTCCAAGTGAGCCTACGGTCTATTAGAAGGCCAAGGTACTTTACCCGCGCTTGCCAGTTAATCTCCCTTCCAGAGATTCTCACTTTTCTGGCCGGAGAAGATTTTAGTCTTCCCATGGTTATTACCTGAGTCTTATCCGGGTTCACTCGGATCTTCCAGTTAAGGTACCAGCGCTCGAGGTCGTCCAATGCACGTTGCATATAGACGACGCTGAGCTCCCGACCCATGGAAGATGAGAGGAGAGCCGTGTCATCGGCGTACAGAGATATCTTCACACACTCGGGCCTCGGAAGGTCACTGGTGTAAAGTGAGAACAACGTCGGAGAGAGCACGGCCCCCTGTGGCACTCCAGCAAGAATCTCTCTGTTATCAGACAGAGATCCCTCTACTCTAACCTGAAATGTCCTGTCCTTCAGGAAGGACCCGATCCACCGGACGAGGCCCCGAGGCAGGTTGAACGCATTTAATTTGTGCAGAAGACCTTCGTGCCAAACACGGTCGAAGGCCTTCGAGATGTCTAATAGAACAATGTGCACTTTTTTGTTGATGTTTAACTCGCAAATGGTGTTTTCGGTCCTCAACTTCTTCGTTGAGCCTTTGGAGAACAACTCTTTCAGCCAGCTTAGCCGCCGAAGAGAGTAGACTGATCGGGCGGTAGTTCTGTGGGAACAGCGGCTTCTGACCCTATTTTGGGATCATAACGACGACTGCATGCTTCCACCTACTGGGGAAGTGTCTGAGTGCTAACGAACTATTAATTATGTTCAGTAAGCATTCAACACAGTTGTCCGGGAGCCTCTTCAACAACTTGTTAGATATTGAGTCGACCCCCGGTGCTTTCTTAGCCTTTGCGGCCCTGATATATTCCTTCAGCTCTTTCACTGAAGCTGGACGAATGTCGTCATCGTCATCTTCCCCGAGGAGTCGGTGAACCCGGTCTTCCAACAGCATATCGCGATCGATGTCGTCGTCGTCGTCAACGTTAAGCTGAAACTGACGTTCAGGCTAACGCTTTGTCGGCGGGGCAGTAGCATACTCCGCGCTCTCCGTGAATTGGTGAGAGAGCAGTCTTCTTCGTCTTGAGCCTGCGAGTGACTCACCAAAGATCGTCACTCCCAGGTTCAAAGGATTCCCAAAGATCTTCCCACCTTTCGTTTCGATGATCATTGATGGTCTGCTTAACTTGGTTGGCCATCCTATTTGCCGCAATTTTATCCCCTGGGAAAAGGGCTCTCGTATCAAGGCTTTGATACGAGGGGGAAACTAATAGCTCCTCAGCGGACACTCCTCCCTGGAGGTGGCCTCTCGAAACGCATCATTTACGGAAAGCTCGAAACGCTCGACTGCCGCGTCGAGTTCGTCAGGAGAGTCGAGTACCTCAGGAGGGGCGCGCATCTCTTCGAGTTGGGCTGTGAACGAGTGCCGCAAATCAAGCGAGTGAGAAATATGCCATTTTCTCACGCATTGTACACTGTACTTTTTCTACGGTTGCGTTGGTTTCATGTATTGAAAATTAAAATACATATATAATAATACTTGTATGTCATTAACTCATTTTTATATTTTATTTAAAATAGTAGTTAACAGTTATATTTGAACAATTTTGTAAAGTAATTCCTGGTAGGTCGTTTTGTTTCAACATGTTTTCGGTAATTGAAATATTAGCTGCGGTCGAAGATGATGGGGAAACGTACTGAGCTTCCACAGCATTGTCAGGTATTCTCGGGCATTGTTGTGTTCAGGCCGAGAATACCTTGTGGTAGGTATTCTCGGGTGCAGGTTCTAATGGCGCTGGAGGCTGAATAGATTCTACTATACTTTTTGAAATTTTCATTTTGTTGGCTATGGAGTTGTCGATATCAGATTCAGCAACATTGCTGGATTTCCAACCCCCATGGCGTTTTAAAGTTATTAGATCTGCCCCTGCATTACCTGAAATAGTCGCAGATGACCTTCGGAAACAGTGTTGGGTAATTGCAAAAATTTCGTTATTTCTTTCGCCATGGTGCCAAATTTATTTGTCCCCACAGGCTGTTTCGTACATTTGCTTTTTTTGTAATTAAAAAAAAAGTTGTTTCATTTGTGCATGGACGTAGCTTCACATATTTTATGTAAATTTGGTATAATTCTCCTGTGACTGAAATTTCTAGGAAACTTTGTTTTAGTATCGGGTAATTATATTAAAAGGACCGAATTAAGATCTTCCATATCATCAATTTTAAATTTTCGAAGTTCATCACAACGACATGCCCCTGTAAGGCCAATAGCTAAAGCAACCTGAAATCAAAACCAAATATTCATTTTTTGATAACAATTTAAAAAATTTCAATTCATACCTTTATCAGCAAATACTTTTCTTCT